GGTTGGCGCAGGATAGAGCAGGGTTTAGGGCTGTTGTGCATAGGGTCGCTTAGAATCGGAAACGACTCGACGGCACATAACAACAACAACAAAATATACCTATTTAAATAATAAAAATTACTACTTGTTTAAGAAAAACATTTTTAAAAATAAAAATTTTTAGCTCAGAATTTCCCATTGCATTCCTACCTTTCATCTACACGATGAGAGACTTCAGAGTTGGCTTACCTTGATGGGTTCCAAGAAATACAACTACAGCTTAGCTTACACGAGATCTCATGCTGCAGAGACCACTGACTAAGATTCATAACATCAGGGGCCTCATATATTCTTACTATCCCATCAGCTGAACAGGTCGCTAACATAAGACCCATATGTTTGGGAGCAAATTTCACATCAGTGACCGATGTTCTGCTATCCACTAGAGTTGTCCTCTTGACCTAAAAAAATAGAACAATATAAATTTTATGCATATATGTTTTATACAACTATTGATATACATTGTATTTTATATAATTAATCACTACTGATCTAAAAGTACAAAATTAAACAATCAAGTAGGATAAAAACAAGAAGGAAAAAAGAAAAATGGCAAATATAGCAGGAGTGACATTTTACTACTGCGTGTGGTCCATACCATGACACCTTGTCTCACTCCACAAACTATTAGCAAAACATCTCACCCAGTGACTCTGTCCTCGCAGTTTATCATTCGATTCTCCTACAATTTCTTCCCATACAGCAGCTGTTCGGTCAAATGAACAAGAAGCTAAAACCTGTCCAAATTCAGGATGGGCCCATGTCACACGCCACACAGATCCACTATGTGTCTGGGAATTTGGGGAGAAAAGAAAAAAGACAGAGGAATAGTCAATATCTAAATTTTTCACTTCTATAAGAAGAGGGAACTAGGGAAATCTAGTGGTATTGTCCACACAGAGTGACACTCAAAAGCCCAGAAGCTGTGACTCTCTTGTGGCTTGAATTCAGTAATAGATCTGAGGAAGAAAGACTGGCACCCCTCTCCCATGAGATTGAAACGAGTCATGATTTAGTTCTCCCTTAACAGCAATGAATAAATAAGTGATTAGATATTTGACATATTTAGAACTTCAGCCCTCTGAAGATCTTTTATTAAAAAAAAAAAAATTCCAAGCAGACAAATTGTCTTTAGAAATGTTGCTTTTCAGAGTTTAGCCTGACCTAGTTTTTAAAAGTGATGGGAGTGTCAGAGACAGTGCAATTGGCATAGGACAGAGCAGAGTTTAGGGCTGTTGTACGTAGGGTCGCTATGAGTCGCAAGCAACTCGACAGCACATAACAACAACAGTTTTTAAAACAAGATTCTACCAGTTCACTATTTTTTCCCTAGTAAAGTGGTTTCTAAAGGAAATCACCATCAAATTAAATAAATGGAGTTAGATTAATCAAAATTGTTTCCTTCAAAAGTTTAAAAGGATACAGAGACTGTACAACAAACTGTGTGCATGACTATGATGTATGTGTGACTAGGTAACAATGGAGTATTTTAAGAAAAGAGGCAGTGAGGAGACAAATGGGGAGAAGCTCAAACCCTTGTATTATACTGAAAAAAGTATTTAAAGCTCAGTATCAGTATCTTTGTATATAAAACCCACCATATTACTATTTAGAACTCTCCAGATTTACAAAGAAAAAGGATTAAAAGGCCGACACAATCAATTGCTGGGTGCCTCCTAATAAAAGCACTCTATAATAAACATCAAATTTACTAATTACAGCAATGGGTTTGTGTGTGTCCAAGATTGTGAGGATGGCACAGGATAGGAAAGGGTTCAGATCTGTTGTTCATAGGGTCACTGAGTCACACGCACTTAACTTGACAGTACCGAAAACAACAATAATTGTATGCAGCAAATTTACCTCTAACTTTTTTTAAATTTTATTATTTTTACGTGTACCATCAAATCAGATCTGACTGGTACAGGAGGAGAATGCCCCCTCCTTCTCCAGCAGAGCATCTGGTGGATTTGAACCGCATACCTCTGGGATTGCAGTGCAGCCACCATAGCTCCCTTACCTCTAACTTTTTACAGTCAATCAGAGAATATTCTCTTAATCCGTGTAACTTCTACAAAGGAACCAAGGTGAACTTTGTCCTCTTCTTTTTTTATCCTTTGTTTTATACCAGTCATTTTTGTTTCATTTTTATTTGTATGGAGATATTAAGTAAAAAGGAGCTCTGGTGGCATGGTCCATGGTTGCTAACCAAAAGGGCAGGTACCTCTGGTAGTGTGAATCCAGCAGCTACTCCAAGGAGAAAGAAAGCTCTCTTTTCAAAGTTACATTCTCAGAAACTCAAAAGAGAGTAGCTGAGCTGAATCCACTTGCTGGTGGTGAGTTTTCAGAGTGTGACTAAGACAAGGAAGAACCTAACCAGAACCTCTGGCAATACAACTTAGTATTTATTATCTGCTACCTAAAAGGTCAGCAATGGCTCAGAGGGAAAAAGATGTATAGATTACCTCCTGTAAGAATGAACAGTCAGTCTTAAATCCACCAGATGCTCTGCTGGAGAAGGAGGGGAAAATCTCCTGTACCAGTCAGATGTGATTTGACAGTACACACACACACACACACACACACACAAAATAATAATAATTTTTTAAAAATAATGGAAAAATGAATACTCTTGAAATGGCCTACTAAAAGGATTATGATCACCTCCTACAAAGATTACCAGCCTTCGAATCCTACAGGCATCACTAATCTGCAACAGAGGATCTTTACAAGTGAGAGTCAACTCAATGGCATTTAACTACGAGTCAAAATGACGTTGATAGCATACAACTAAACAAAATTAAAAAAGAAACTCAACAAAACCTTAAATAAAAAACACCCTTAAACAACTAAAAATGCAATTAGGCAGGAAAATTTTATAAAATACTAGATACCCAATGACATGTAATCTAACTAAACAATATCCACAAGTAATATCCACATCTGGGACATGATGCCAGCATGCCAGGAGTACGTCTCAGTCAGAATGCTTCAACACCCTCCAAGATTCAACTGGATCTGGTACCTTAATTTTCGTACGCCTGATTGCTATTACAGGCACATCAATAATTTGTCAGTTTTTTTATTTGGGAGAATCCACTGTTCTAATAAATACAGTATTTGTTTGTCAACTTGCTGTACTAACTTGTAGGATGCTGTGATGCTAAAAACTAAGCCTCTAGTGTGTCAAATGCCACAATGGCGGACATGTTTTAATAGTGCTCCCAGATTAAGACAAAATAAGCAGCAATGGCAATCCACTTCTGAAATAGCAGGCCTCTGCAAACTCTAGGAACAGTAGTGGAACAGTTACAGATATAATATTAGAGGTAAAGTCCAAAATACAAGTCAATCAAAATGAGGAGAAAACACCTGTAAACATCCCTTAATAACTGGAACATGGAATGTATAAAGTATGAATGTTGGAAAACAAGGAGTTGTAAAAAAATGAAATAAAGAGAATGCATGAACATCGACATTCTAGGCACTGATGAGATAAGATGAGATGGACTAGCTTTGGCCACTTTGAATCTGATAATCACATGGTATACTATGCTGGGAGTGAAAAACAGAAGAATGGTGTTTCATTCATAGTCAAAAAGTTAATTCAGGTTCTATCCTGAAGCACAATGTTGTAGGTGAGAGGATATTATTCATATTTATATCTATAAATATGACTATTGTTCAAATATTTGCAAAGGCATTTGACTGTGTGGATCACAACAAATTGTGGCTAACCTTGAGAAGAAAGGGAATTGCATAACACTTGATTGTGTTTATGCAAAACCTATGGAGATGAGGAGATAAGTCATCAGAACAGAGCAACAACACACTGCAAGTTTCAAAATTAGGAAAATTGAACACCAGAGATACACCCTATCTCCTTATCTTTTAAATCTATATGAGGAACAGATCATCTGGGAGGCAGGACTTTATGAGGAATGTGACAACAGGATTGGAGGAAGACAACTTACATTATGCAGATGACACAACCCTGCTTGCTGAAAATGAGGAGGACCTAAGGCATTTGCTGCAGAAGGTCAAGAACAACAACCTTCAATATTGAAGCTCAATATCAAGAAAACAAAGATTCTCACCACTGGGGCTACTGGTAGCATCATGATAGATGGTGAAGAAATTGAGATTGTTAACAGCTTCAGTTTGCTTAGCTCAACAATCAACACTCTTGGTAGCAGCAGCCAGGAAATCAAAAGACAAATTGCATTGGGAAAATCTGCTGTGGGGACCTCTCTAGAGCACTAAAGAGCAACGATGTCAGTTTAGAGACTAAGGTGCACCTGATCCAGGCCATGTTGTTGTTGTTGATTGCCGTCAAGTTGAGCATGCTTGACTCACAGCAACCCAAGAACAAAAGGCCTGAAGCCTTTCTATAATTATCGTCATTTATCAAAGTTCATAGTTTCCAGAGGCATGTTGTTTAGCAAGTGGATGCCAATCCTGCTTCCAAAGCAAAAGTCTTTCCAATTACTCCCTATACATTAAAGAGCTGGACAATGACTAAGGATGACAGAAAAAGAATCGATGCCTTAAAGCTGTGATGCTGAAAACATTGTCAAGAGAACATAGTGTCCTGGAGTGGGAAAAACCAAGCTGTTCCTTAGAGGCAAGGATTCTGAAGCTCTGTCCAACACAGTTTGGGCATGTTGCCAGTAGGGTCCAGTCCTTGGAGAAGGACATCACACCTGGAAGGGTGGAGAGACAGTGCAAGAGAGAAAAGTCCTAGATGAGATACATTCACTCAATGACTAGGGTTACAGGAGTAGGTGTATGGGGACAATGAAATTGGTTCAAGATAAGACAGGATTCAGAGATATTGTACATAGGGTTGCTATGAGTCGCAAGCAGCTTGATGGAACATGACAACAACAACAACAGCTAAAGCCAAAGAGGAGGAAATGGAAAATTTTTACCAAATCTCAGTCTGAAACTGACCAAATGCTCATTCAAGATTCATTAATAACTGGTGACTGGAATGCAAAAGTTGGAAACAATGTGTTATGTCTTTGCACTGGACATAAGGCCAAGGACTCAAGGAAGGGACCAGAGAAAGAAAGGAAGCTAAAGAAGATTGATTGAGGCGAGCTCTGGTGGCCTAGTGGCAAGAAGCTGCACTGCAATCCCAGAGGTACTCGCTTCAAATCCACCAGATGCTCTGCTGAAGAAGGAGGAACAATCGCCTTCTGTACCTGTCAGATCCGATTTGACGGTACACACATTAAAAAGAAAAAAAAAAGATTGATTGATTGATTGATTTTGTGTGTGTGTGTGTGTGTGTGTGTGTGTGTGTGTATGTACTGTCAAATCAGATCTGACTGGTACAGGAGTTTATCCCTCTTTCTCCAGCAGAGCATCTGGTGAATTTGAACCTCTGGGACTGCAGTGCAGCTTCTTGCCACTAGGCCACCAGTGCTCCCTTAAAGAAGCTTTATTAAGGGGTCTCTGGGGTGGAATTCCTTGGTCTGCAGAGAGAGAAACAGGCATAGGGACAGAACAGGGAAATACTGCACCATAAAGTGGATTAGGGCAGGTTTTATAGTGAGGGTCTTTAGAGAGGGAGGGGAGGGACACTCCATTGTGGCTTAGTCAGGAGAGTGGTCTTCTAGGGAGGAATCCTTTGTTTTTCCTTTGACCTTGGTCTGTTCTGCCCACGAAATGCCCCTCAAAGGAGATCCAATCACAAGTCTGAAAATTTCAAGAGCATTTATTAATTCCACATGTGGAGACTTTCTTCCTCCGCAAGTGGGTGGCGAGGGAAAAAGCCCCAAGTCCC